TTCATGCAGAGCGAGCCCTATTTCCAGAACATTAGTTCTTTTTTAGTTTTAACTTCAGTTCCCCAGGAGCAGACTCAACCCTCCAGGTTTTGGTATTTATTGGTCCTTTTTCTCTGGATGCATGGGTCCAACCCCTTTCTGCTGTTCTCACAGCTGTTTCGGTGGTAAGTAAAACAAGATATGGTCCCTCCCACCGGGGCTGTAAAGATTCTTCTTTCCAAGTTTTTATTAAGACCTTATTCCCTGGTTGTATTTGATGGATGGCAAATCCTAAAGGTGGTGTTTGAACCAGTATTCCAATTTCTCTTAGTTCTTGCAACCTTTTCCCAATAGTAATTATATATTTCTGGATACTACGATCCTCAACTACATTGTCTCCCAGAGGCATTCCCTGTGAATAAGGCATCCATATAACATTTCATATGGTGATAATCCAGTCTCATTGTGTGGTTTAGTTCTTATGTTCAGAAGTGCCAATGGTAAACATCGAGTCCAGGTCATTTGTGTCTCAACCATTAATTTAGCCAATTGCTGTTTTATTGTTTGATTCATTCTCTCTACTTTCCCTGAGCTTTGTGGGGGCCACGGAGTATGATATTCCCACTGAATACCTAATGATTGACATAATAATTTTATTATTTTAGAAGTAAAGTATGTGCCCTGATCAGAATCAATGTACTGGATTATCCCATATCTAGGTATCAGGTGTTCCAATAAAATTTTTGTCACCACTTGTGCCGTAGCTCGTGCCACAGGATAAGCTTCTACCCATTGTGTTAAATGATCCACAATTACCAATAAATACTTGATCCTCCCTACTTTGGGCAATTCGGTAAAATCAACTTGTACTCTCTCGAAAGGCCGATATGCTGTTTTTCTTCCTCCCGATGCCGCTTGTCGAAATATTTTCTTATTTATTTTCTGACAAGTTAAACAACCTTGTGTGATTTGCTTTGCTATTTCAAAAACCCCTATACAACCAAATTGTTTAAGTAAGTGATTACTTAATGCTCTTGTACCCCTCTAATTTAGCACCTATTTTCTCCAGTTTTGTTTGTTCTTCAGGAGTAAACTTCTTTACTTCTTCTTCTTTTTCTTCTTCTTTTCTTTCTTCTTCCTGTACTATATTAATTTTAGCAGCCTGAATTCTTAAAGCTGCTTCCTGAGCTTCTTTATCTGCTAGGTTATTTCCCATAGTGTGGTATTCTAATCCTCTTTGGTGCCCTTTTACATGTACTACTGCTATTTCTTTTGGTTCCCTTAATGCTTTTAAAATTTTCCTCATTAATTCTTGATGTAAAAGATTCTTCCCTTGAGTATTAATTAAACCTCTTTCCTCCCAAATATTTTCAAAGGTGTGAACCACTCCATATGCATATTTAGAATCTGTATATATAGTTCCACTTTTTCCCTTCAATAGTTCCAGGGCCCTGTGTAGGGCATACGGCTCGCAAGCCTGAGCTGACCATGATGGACTCAGGGGGCCTGATTCCACAGATTCCAGGTGTTTATTAATTATGGCATACCCTGATTTTCTTTTTCCCTCCACTACTCTGGAGGAACCATCTATGAATAGTATCTCCCCCTTCTCTAATTCAGTATCTCTCAAATCAGGTCTTACTTTAGTCTGGGTCTCGATTACCTCCAAACAATTATGTAGTTCCTCTGATGGTTTTCCAAATAAAAATTGTGCTGGGCTCTGAGCAGAAGTTACCTTCAGTTCTAAATCAGGGGAGTCAATTAGTATAGCTTCATACTTTAGGATCCGACTGTCTGTTAACCATTTCTCCGCTCTCTGTTGTAAGACGCTTCTGACATTGTGTGGAGTGTACACTTTTAAGGGGGCACTGAAAGTAATCTTTCTCACTTCTTCTATTAATAATGCTGTAGCGACCAAAGCTTGAAGACAAGCAGGCCACCCCCTACTTACTGGATCAAGTAATTTAGAACAATACCCCACGGGTTTTTTAATTCCTGCCCAATCTTGAGTAAGGACTCCATATGCTGTCTGGTTCGATGTGTTCACAAAGAGATAAAAGGGTTTCTCTAGATCTGGGAGACTTAGTACAGGTGCTTGTATTAATGCTTTTTTTATTTCTTCAAATTTTTGGTCATCTTCTGTGGACCACTTAAATCGATCATCAATTAATTTCTCATATAAAAATTTAACCTTTTCACTGTAGCTTTCAAGCCACGGTCTACAATATCCTAATAATCCCAATGTTTGCCGAATTTCCTTTTTAGTTCGTGGGGGTCTTAAGGAGAGGATCCCTGATACCCTGTCAGGATCCAATTTCTTTTCTCCCCTGCTTAACCAGTGTCCTAAGTATTTTACCTCCTGTTCCACAAATTGTAACTTTGATCGAGACACCTTTAATCCCTTTTCCCCCAGGAAATTTAACTAATTAATAGTAGCTTTTCGGGTTCCTTCTTCAGTCTCTCCAGCTATTAATAAATCATCCACATATTGCAACAACTTTACCTCCCCAGGTAATGTAAAATCTTGTAAAACTTTTTCCAAAGTTTGACCAAATAGATTTGGTGACTCAGTAAAACCTTGTGGTAGCACGGTCCACCTTAATTGTTGTTTTCGTCCCGTTTCCGGGTCTTCCCACTCAAAAGCAAAATAATCCCTGGAATTTTCATCTAGAGGACAGATCCAAAAGGCATCTTTTAGATCTATTACGCTATACCAAGTATATTTGGGAGAGACGTGACTCAGCAGAGTGTAAGGATTTGCTACCACAGGGAATTTAGTGATTGTTCGCTGATTTACAGCTCTCAGATCCTGTACCATTCTGTATGACCCATCCGATTTCTTTACAGGGAGGATGGGTGTATTGTGAGGTGACATACATGGTTCTAAAGTCCCTTTTTCCAAAAGTCTATCAACTATGGGTTTTAATCCCCTTCGACCCTCCATTGGTATAGGGTATTGTTTAATTTGAATAGGACGATGTGGATCCATTATTTGAACATTTATGGGGTCCATTTCCATTTTTCCAATTTCTCCTTCCTTATACCACACTGAAGGGTTAATAACCTCTTCATCTTCTTGTGTTAAAGTGTATAATTTAATTTGCAATTTATCCCCTTGACTTTGAATGCTTAAGTTTAATTTTAAAATCAAATCCCTTCCTAGTAAATTGTACTCCGCTTCAGGGAGCAAAAGTAAAACATTAAGACAAATCTTTTGATTGGTTTCTATTTCCACATCTTTTAAAACAGGAACCTTAAAGAGCTCTCCTTTTGCCCCTATTACAGACGTGTAACTCTTCCCTTCTTTTATTTCCTCTGGGAGCTTTTGAATAGTGGATCTTTCAGCTCCTGTGTCTACTAAAAATAGAACTTCCTCTTTATGGGGACCAATTAATAGTTTTATCAAGGGCTCTGTTGATGTTGAAGTCCCCAGAAGATATAGCCCCTGACACCCCTATTCTTCTTTAAACATTTTCTCGTCTTGTTCCCGCTTACGACAGTTCTTCTGGACATGTCCCTTTCTTTGGCAATAGTAACAAGCGGGGATCGCTGAATTCCCTTGAGAAGGCTGACCTCTAGGGGTTTCTTCTATATTTCTTCTCTTCTCCCTCTCTCCTAACAAGGGCTTTTTCTGACTTTCTTTTACTGCTGCTACAAAGATCTTGGCTTTTGCTTTTTGTTTCTCCTCATCTCTCCTGACATATAGTTTTTGCGCTTCTCTAAGTAACTCTTCTAATCCTCTCTCTTGCCAGTTTTCTAGCTTTTCTAATTTCCTTCTTATGTCCCCCCAGGATTTGGCTACGAATTGTGTTCTAAGGAGTGTGGTTCCAATTGCTATATTCGGATCGATCCCCGAATACATTTGTAGGCTTTTCTTTAATCTCTCCAACCATTCTGTTGGAGATTCCTCTTTTCCTTGTTGTTCATTGAATGCTCTATTAATGTTTTTTCCTCGTGGAACCGCTTCTCTTATTCCTTGTATAATTATTGTTCTCAAATCTCTCATGTTTTGTCTTCTCTGGGGTTGCTGGTGATCCCAGTGGGGATCCACATTTGGCCATTTTTGATCTCCTGGGGGTCCTGCTTGATTTTGTCTTGATTTTGGTCTTGTGGAGCCAGATTAATGCCACACTCTTTCTGCCATTCTGTGTGGTTTCTCAGAGTAAAAAACATATCCGCATATGAGACTTCATCCCACTTTCCTTCCCTCCTTAAAAATAACATTAATTGCAATAGAGTGTTATAATTCAAAGTCCCATTTCTAGGGGACTTTGTCTTTCAAGAATGTGGGCCGGGGTCTCCAGGATGTGGGCAGTGGTCTTTGGGAGGAAGGCTGTAGGTCTTCCTCGTAATGCACTTTTCACCTTTGCTTAATCAGTTGTTTTCCAAGCTGTAAAAATGCTGAATTGGCTTTCAGTTTAACTGAGGGTCGGCAGATAACAGGAAGTCTCAGTTAACAAGACAAGACAATTGACTCAAGTTATCTCAAGTCTCAGCCTGACTAACGGTTAACAGATACCGGGATGTTTTCAAATAACAAGATGCTTAAACATAACAGAAGGTCTACAGATAACAAGATGTCATTTACTTTGTCCTTGCTAACTTTTAACCACAAGTTTTATTCTATCCTAAATTGAGTTTATACTATATCAGTAGACCTAGTCCTTGAGGCCAGCTGCTGGTAACAGTATTTTCTGAGTTCCTTAATTGGGCGATGTGGGAGTCATTGCCGTGGGAGCTTCTCACAGTTACTCTGGCAGCTTGGTTTGCTCAGCTACAGCAGGCCCTGAGATTTCTAAGGCCTACCCCTGGTTGCTTATGTCCACGACCTGTATGCCAATTCCCAACAATTCCCCCGTTTTCTTTTTGTACAAGCAGTACTTGGTTTTACATCAGATGTCGAATACACAACATAACACAACTATACAACTTAACCCTAATAGCACTACAATTACTGTAAGCACTTAATGGTAACACAATTTAATAGTAAGTAACACAACTTAATAGTAACACACTTAAACCTAATCACTTGATGGTGATCGAAGGCTGTTCTTGACAGTCCTTGAGGTGTCACAGCCCACGTCATTGTCAGAATAATCATCAGGAACCTCTTCATGGTCATCTTCGGCGTGTGCAGATTCTAAAACTGCTTCAGTCCACTTTGCAGTGATCCACTGGGTACCTGTTCCCGGCACCACTTCAAAATCCCTATAACATTTTGCAAGTAACCCTTTAACCACATTTATCACAATACTACGTGTAATGATGATTGACACCACAATGAACAGAATCCTTAATCCCCCTTTGACTAATCCCAGTAACCATCTATGCATTGTTTCAACCAAATCAGTGAACCATTGATTGAAAGGGTTGATACCATACTGAATCTTTCTCATGTGCTCTTTCAGGAAAGTAATGAATTTGTGAGTTGACTCATTATGATCAAAAAGGTCTAAACAGTACATTCCCTTAAATTTCTCCAAGTGGCTACTTCAAACAATGACTCCGTACTTGTGAAACTTGATTTTGCTCGACCGATCGCAACTAGCCCTGCTAGTTGCTTACAATCGACTCCCCATTTTTCTAAAAAGCGCTGTAATAAATCCATTTTCCTATGATTTTTGCCGGCACCAATTTCCTATGCTCTTAGCCTACACTGTGGTTATATCCCGGGATCCTGCACTGTGGCAACAATAACCTGTACTATGGCTATATCCCGGGATCCTGCACTAGGGCAACAATAACCTGTGCTATGGCTAAAATGCGCTCTCACTCACACAGTACACAGTACAATCACACATACAGAGCACAATCGTACACCCAGAGCACAATCGCACACCCAGAGGCCTCTGGCACATCTCACTCTCAATCATACCACAACCTCAATCATACCACAAGAATATAATTTAGAATGATAAGCAAGCAAACAAGTATTGTCTTTCATTGTGTTCCTCGTGAAGTGACTTGCAACACTTTGTTTTAAAACCTTACCCTTACACAAATACTTTAAACACAAAATACCTGGACATTTAAGAATAGCACATACAATTATTAACACTCCAGCTAGTATCCCTCCAGCAGCTGAAAACATACTGTTTGTCTGCAGCTACAGGAGATCTTTGTCTGCTCCTGCGGTGAGCAGCTGAGAGTGGAGTCCCCTCCAAACAAAACGCTCAGGGTGCACCTAGGGGCGTCCACACCGCAGCCGATCCCCGCAGCCGAGCAGTTGTTACGTGTGGCCGCAGATGCCACTCCAAGCACTAAAATTGCCAAGGCCGCTCTAGCTGCAACCCCACACAATTCAACATTATCATTGCAATCCGGTGTAAGCAATGCGCATTTACGTCTGGTGATCTCACACAACTGTAACAAGCTAGGAGCAAATACAATGAGTTTATCTAAGTAACATGGACTTCTGATAGCATTTGCAGCGATACCTTGCCAGGCCCTATCCCCACAAATCAGAAAAACATCAGGAGGTAAGGCCAAAGCTGTACAATTGTTCCAAACACTGTAGTTGTTACCCCTTGTCTCCATGCTATGAACCCCTAAACCCTGCTTAGCAGCGTCATTGTAATCACAGGTGTTGTTTGTATTTTTGTACCCGTATGGCCTTTTCCAGGTTCCTGTAGCAGGAATCATCTGATATCCACGGCTACGTTCACATTTGTAGCCACCTTTCAGGTTGATACATATTTGACCACAGATACCAGGGTTTTGACATTCATCAATATCTCCACAGTTTCTCTTGTCTACAAACTCAAACCCAGCTGGACAGTCACATTCATTTTTGTTGCATTCCTTCAGGGGCTCATCACCCCAGTCCTTGCAGTCTCTCTGCCGGTTACACACTTTATTGATATCTATGCATTCTCCACTTCTGCACTTGAATTTGTCAGGTCCAGAGCACTGAATAACATTGTTACAGTTTGCTTCATCAGTGCCATCCAGACAGTCTCTCACACCACTGCACTGCCTACTCCCATGGACACAGTTCCCATCTTCACATCTGAACTGGTCTGGCCTGCAGGTCTGAGAAGGGCAGTTAATTTCATCACTTCCATCCTTGCAATCAGTATCTCTGTCACAGTCTTTTTCACCTGAGCCACGCCGCAGCGCACTCACATAACACTTCACCAGAGGTGCAGGCTGGCGGCCACACTGCTCCAAAGATTCATCCAAGTGGTCGGAGCAGTCAGCATCATCATCACACACCCAGCTGATAGGGATGCAGGTAGAACTCTTGCACTGAAACTCATGAACACCACAGGTAGGAGGTGCACACTCCAGCTCATCGCTACCATCACTGCAGTCATCTTGACCATTGCAGGCAAAGCTTTTGGAAATACATTGCCCACTACTGCATGTGAATTCTGCTGCACTACAAGTCACAATGCCACAATTCTCTTCATCTTCTCCACTGTCACAGTCCTTTTCACCATCACATTTCCAGGACACTGGGATACGCTGGACTGACTGAGGACCACAGCTAATTTCATTTACCCGACATGTTCTCATATGACACAGATCAGCACTCTCATCAGACCCGTTTTCACAGTCCGGATCCCCATCACACTGCCATCTATTTGGCACACACTGACCACTGCTGCACACAAAGTCAGATTCAGCACACGTCTTCTTCACACAAGCACTCTCATCACTGCCATCTGAGCAGTCTTCACATTTTACTCTAGCACCCGTGTCACTTATACTATTCCTATTACCCGTGCCGTCAGTGTCAGTGGCATCCTCCTGGTACTGTTTCTGTCTTTGCCGCCCCTTACTCTCCCCCTTTTCTTTTTGCCACTGACCATTCACCACAAATGGATGAGACACATGATTACTAGTTAGGAAAGAGAGTGTAACATCTGCTATATGGCTGCAGGCGATCTGCTGGTTTTGGTAATACTCTAGATGCCTCTCCGCCAGGTCCACGCGCTGCATCAGGTTCTCAATGAAATGCTGGAGCCTGGCTTTTCCCCGCAATTCTTTTTCTGCCTCCTCCTCGGACTCGCTGAGGCGCTGCTTCAAGGCCGCGTTCATCTCCACCACCGCGTCCACCTGCCTGCTGAGCACCCGCTCCCTCCGCTGCACCTCCTGCTGCTTCTGCGAGAGCTCCACGAAGCCTGCCCACACCTCCAGCAGCTCTGCCGTCTTCTGGGCCAGCTCCCCGGTCAGCCTGTCGAGCCGCTTCTCCATCGTCTTGTCCACGGCCTCCACCATCCTGCTGAACTTCGCCCTGACATGCGCCTCCAACCCGGCCGCCTCCGGCTCCAGCTCTGGCCGCCCCTCTCCGGAGGCGTCGCAGAAGGCGGCGAGGGGCGCCCTGCGGCTGGAGGAACTGCCCCGGCCACAGGGCTCTGGCGGCGAGCCCAGCGCCGCGTCCCGCAGCGGGAGGAGCGGGCAGCCCCCGGCCGGCACCCGCCGCTTGCCGCGGCCAAACAGGCCGCGCTCCCCGCAGCACGGGCAGCAGAACGGCAGCGCCGGGCTGGCCACGGGCAGCAGCTCCGGCCACGGGAAGCCTCCCTGCTCCGCGCCGTCCTGCTGCATCCTCCGCCTCGGCGGGGCGGGCTTGGGAAACTTCGAGCACAGGGACCGGGACCGACCCCAGCCGAGAGGTGGCCGCCCGCGGCCGCGCCGCCCCGGCCGGTGCCGGCGCCGGGGCCGGGAGTGGAGCGGCCGCGGGAGGCGTTTGCGACTCTTCCCGTTGTTCCGGCCGTTTCCCGGCACGTTGCGTCGACATGCTGCTTCCTTGTGATTGTTCGACTGACAATTTGAGCACCATACTGCCCCAGCTTTGCAGTATCGTCTCACGTGTCCAAAAGCACCACAACGATAACATCGGCAGCGGTGTGGTAATTGGCTACTAGGGGGTGGTACTTGACAGCCAGAGCGTGAACTGGCGGTTTGCAAAGGAGCAAGAACTGCAAGGACCTGACTCTGTGCAGACTGAACATGCTCTTTCACAGCCTGTGCCTGTTCTCGCATGCTGTCACCTAATTGCTTTACTGCCTCTACTAACATAGCCTGTGGGCCTACTGGTACCTGAGCCATTCTTTCCAACCCTTCCTCGATTGTCCATGTCCCGGGTAAGGAAGCTAATATAGTGCGGGTAGAGGGGTTGCTATTCTGAATTGCGCACTGTTTTAATATCATGCCCTTGAGGTAATCGGGCACCCCTGCCGCCTGTATGGCGTTTGCTACGCGATCAATAAAAAGCCCAAATGGTTCCTCTCTACCCTGTTTGATTCCCATGTAGGAAGGTATTCCCCCTGGCCCCTTTATCCGATCCAATGCTCTTCTGGCCGTTCTCATTGATTCCTTGGCTTTATCAGGTCCCAGCAATGCCTGTGCTTCTGTCCTAAAATATGGTCCTATCCCCATCAACTCTTCCAGTGTGACCCCATGTAAAGGGTCCCCTGGTGCTCTTATCACTGCGACTGCTTCTTGACAAGCAGCGTGCCAATGGGCATTAAATAAGAGCTGCTGGTGTTGGGTCAAAATTATCTTCATTATGTTGCGTATGTCTCCTGGAAGCAAAATATTTGTTCCCCAAATGTAGTCCAGCATCTGTCTCGTAGGTTCACCTTTCAGACCTGAGTCATTTACTGTGGACAGCAGCTGAGTTAACAATTTCCAGTCCAAATTCACTAGATTAACCGTAACATTACCCTGGGCGTCCGGTGGTGAGTATATTACCGAGAAGGCCTCTGGAACCAATTGTGCCGCTATCTCGTGTTCACCCTCGCGTAGGGCCTCATTTGCTATTTGGTTCCACACCCTCTGCCTCTGTTGAACAGCGTCTGTAAACAGGCTTGTGTTTTTTCTGTCTGGTTTTTGCTGTCTTATTTCCTCGTCCATCTCCCCACTTTCGGGAGTAGGAGTCAGTAGTGCTGCTGGTGATGGCGGGAGCACCAATGACGACTCTGAGGATGGCAGCATTATCGTTCTCACTGAAGGCGGCAATGGGCAATCCCCAGCTCCCTCCATCTCTCCCTGTTGAGGGTTAACACTACCAGCTCTTCCTGGCAATCCCAGTTGCTCTGTAGCGACAGCAGCGACTCTCTGCTCAGCCTGATGTATAGCTAAGGCGTTAGTGACTGCTTTCCAAGGCTTCGATAATTTTTTAGCAGTCTTATTGTCATTAATAACTTCATCAAACAATTTGTCCCCAAATTTGCGCCACTCTGCTTGTTCAAAAACTGTATCCGGATTGATAAAACAACCCTTTGTTACTCCATATGCTAATAATCCTGGTAAATCCTTTTTGCAGTCTATACCCTGCGTGCTGCGGTTTTCTAAAAAGCATTTGAGCAAATCATACGCCGCTTGTCTCTCCATGCCTTTATTTATGCTGTTGCAGCCTTTGCGAGACACGTGACTGGTAGGGACCCTCTATAGGTGCTCCCGGGTGTGGGGATTCCGCGTTTACATCCCGTTACGTCCCGTTCACCTGTCAGACTGCGGGTGCGGGGATTATCGTCCCTTTCACCTCCACCGCGATTACTTCAATGTCCCGCGATTACTTCAATTTCCTGTGCGGTTCCGTTTCCCGCATCTCTCACTGTGAGTCCCCGCGTCCCCGCGTCCCACCGTTTCCCCGTCTCTCACCGTGAGTCCTGTGTACAGCATTTGCGGCTCGGTGTCTGGTCAGCTGCAGCGCCGGTCCGATGTCCGCTCCGATGTCCCGGCGGCGCTCCGATGTCCCGCGCCGCTCCGATGTCTCAGTCTCGGCACTGTGATGTCGCGGTGCCGCTGGTCCCCACTGGTCCCCACTGGTCCCGGCGCCGCGCCGATGTCCCGGCGCCGCTGGTCCCGACTCCGCTGGTCTCGCTGGTGTCCCGCTGCGCTGGTGTCCCGCTGCGCTGCGATGTTTGTCCCGCTGGTGTCCCGCTGCGCTGCGGTGTTTGTCCTGGCGCCACTGCGATGTCCGTGCTCGGCTGCGGATGTCCTGCTCCGGTGCGATGTCTGTCCCGCTGCAATGTCCTGTTCAGGTCCTGTTCAGGTCTCAGCCTGTTCGGGCGCCATTTGTTGCGATGCACGGCCGAAAGCACGACAGACACCAGTTGAGTCAGATCATGCTGCTCCATTTTATTGCCCGAATAGCCTAACTTTTATAGTGAACTTTACAGGGGCGGACAGTGTTTCACACAAGATTATTGGTCAAAAGCACTCAGACAAACAACTACAAGAAAACAACCCCACCTGCAAGAAAAGAATCCCCCTTTTGATTAGCAGTCAGGAAAACAACCCCCTTTGTGATTAGCGGTCACGTAGACCTAGTCCTTGAGGCCAGCTGCTGGTAACAGTATTTTCTGAGTTCCTTAATTGGGCAATGTGGGAGTCATTGCCGTGGGAGCTTCTCACAGTTACTCTGGCAGCTTGGTTTGCTCAGCTACAGCAGGCCCTGAGATTTCTAAGGCCTACCCCTGGTTGCTTATGTCCACGTCCTGTATGCCAATTCGAACAGATATGCTTTTCTTCGATCTGGGAAGAATGGGATACATAAGGCCTGAAGACCGAGTTGCTTGACAACTTAAAGTGAGACATATTGTTCAAAAGGAATGGAAAATGGAGACTGTTAAGTTATTGTGGGAATAGAAATGTTGTTTTTGCAGAGTTACATTGTTTAGAAGGAGGGAATGTGGTACTGAGATATGTTTACAGTGATAAGAAAGCTTAGCAGGTGACCTAGTAAAATGCAGACAACCAGACTCAAGGTAGAAGAGATATTGAGAATTTTGCCTTCCCTGATACTAACAGTACTAATACTAACTGTGTATCCTCTTAGGTGAACTACCCCCTCCTCCTTACCAACAGAGAGGTTAGGAGTTTTAAGAAGGAGAGGAAGTCTTTAATTGAGGACCCCAACAGCCTAGTTGAACAATTAGACCAGTTCCTACGACCTGATTTATACTCTTGGGGGAGGGAATTATGTCTATAAGTATGTTGTTTACAGGGAAAGAAATGGGAATGATCAGGAGGAGAGCTGCCATACAAGAATGGGAAAGAGCTCATCCTCCAGGACTAGGGGTAATACCGGCAGGGCAGAAATACCCACTTGCCAATCCTGGCTGGAATAATAATAGTGTGCAACACAGAAATCATATGAGAGACTTGGGGTCAGAATGAGAAAGTACTTGGGGATGAGACCTGAGGACCCAGTATCCCAAGGGCTCTTGAAAGTTCATTGTGTGATTAAAGCCTGGCAAAATACGCAGAAAATGCTTCAGAAGGTGGGGGGATGTAGTGAACAGTCACTGGGGGACCCTCCTGCGGGAGGCCCTGGAGATGTGTGTCCGGAGGGGAGATAAGAAGGAAAAAAAAAAAAGAGTGAAACTAATGGTATTGACAGTGCAGCGGGTAGTGAGGCAGAGGGTTGGAGAAAGAGGAAGAAAATCTTCAGGGGGAGTCAGGGCCAGGATGGAAAGGAGAGGAAGAGAGATGAAGGAATGGCAGGCAAAGAAGGCTGCCTGTGTTGTGGCCCGAGTCCTAGCAGAGACAGGCTTTGATAAGATGTTTTAAGTGTGGCCAGGCTGGCCACTTCGAATAGGAATATCCAGAGTGGAAGAAGGAGGAAAGAAGGAAAATGGGATGAAATATGCTATATTGATATGTTGTTTCGGTATCTGGGAGGGAAAAGGTATGGAATTAAGTTGGACCCTGACTGAGCCTTTGGTGCTGGTATTAGAAAAGTACGGGCTGGAGAAAGATAAAGGAAGTGTTAGAAGGGTTGCTGAAGGTGTTAAAGGTGTGGCATGTAATATTTAACAGAGCTGTTTGAAGTTGAATGAGCAGGGAAAGGGGATGTAGGCATTATCTAAGTAACAGTCTAGAAGTTTTGGTATATTTGCATATTTGCTGTGGTGTTTGTTCAGTTTCCCAAGCATCGGGGAGGGGGGAACAGCCTGCTCCACCAGGGGCCTCTCCAGCGGCCGCAGGGGGGCTTCGGCTCCAGCACCTGGAGCGCCTCCTCCCCCTCCTTCTGCACTGGTGTCTGCGGGGGGGGGTGTGTGTGTGTGTGTGTGTTCTCGCTCTCCCAACTGCTGTTGAGCAGCAGGTTTTTGTTTGTTTCTTTGTTTGTTTGTTTTCGTGGATGTGCTCTCACAGAGGCACAGACTGTATTGCTCATGGCTTGGCTCTGGGCAGCAGTGGGCCCCTTTGGGGCCAGATGAAATTGTCCCTTACCTGCCACGGGGAGGCTTCTGGGTTTTTCTCACGGGGGCTGCCACTGCAGTTTCCCACCCCCACACCTCTCACACCCCCCGAACCTTGCCATCAAACCCAATACACTGGGGAACAGCTAGGTCATTACTGACTTGTAAAGTATCAGGGATTAAATTAACTAATGAAACCCTAAAAAGTGATGGGGGCAGAAGGGGCTGGGATAACAGTGCCACTTTTGGGGGATACCAAGCTGAGACCAGGGGATAAAATGATCACTGGGTAATTATTGTATGTACCCAAGGCAGGGACTAACTTGTTGAGAAGGGATTTGATGATTAAATTGGGCATTCAAATAGTAAATTGTTAGACTGGAATAACAGTGC